TCAATCCGATGAAGTGTTTACATGTCCTCTCCATCGGATTAGAAAAGGTTTAAACCACCCCTTACGATCCGAATGAAATTTTAATCGGTTTTGGCCAATTCATTCCGATTGACGTGTTTACATGTGACTTTTTAAATCTGATTGTGCTTCTGGTCCAATTACGATCGGATTATTAGTGTCCATGTAAACGCAGCTAGTGAAAAGGTAATATAAACAATAAAACTGGTCAAATCTGGATATTTCTAAATAAATTTGTCTTGGTTTATTGATTTTTCTAAAGTGCTTACCAGTTCATCTCTAATGAAAACATAACTAAAAGTCAGATTTATGCAGTAATTAGGAATTGAGCACTTAGGCTTGAAGTGCGAACCCAATAAATCTCATATTCAGAGTTACCCAAATCCAATAAGATCCCACTTCAGCTTCCTGGAAGTGCAGTCTCATTTTACAGATAAAACCAATGAGAGCAACAGCATTGAAGAAGAAGTTCACACTTCACTTATCTGTGAGAGGCAGCGATACAACACTCTGCATTGTGATACACATCATGCTAAAGAGTTCACTCTGAACATGTACTGACAGAACGTCTTTAATGTAACGTCCCGCAAGCCGCAAGAGGACGACACAATCAGATCATGTCATCAGCACTTGTCAGGAGTGACCTCATCTCTTTTCAGCCAGCACACATTTACACACTAACCTGGTAGAGTGCCTGGCACACACACATACACACTCACACTCACACACATATGCTGATAGAACTGGTCAGTGCAGACAAGATCTACTATTTAATCTATACCGACATTTCCAGTTCAGAAGATTATAGGTAGTAAAAAAAGCAACAAACAGGAAGCCTTCATGTTCTTATGCTTCATAAAACACACATTATACTACGACATAAAACACACACCAATGTACTGCCCTAAAACCACAGTAACAAACCCAGAATACTCTATCATAGACATCCATAATTTTCTGATTACTGCAGGAAGGGAAAATAGCTCTTTTACCACACACACACACAAACACACACACACACTTGTGGACCGGAATAAGCATCACCGCTGGAGTGGAACTAAACCTGTCTTTCCCAGCAAGCACATAACCACTCAGTCCTACAATCCACCATTTTTGCTCAACAAGGACCTTTTTGGAAACAACAATATGCGGTGGGAAACTTCCATCCTTCGATATTTTCTTCTAGATGCTTCTAGAAATTCTGGAAAACTTCAGAAAGCCTGGAAGATTCATTGTTTTCCAGAACAGTAGGAGTTTCTTAGCTATAGGCTAACTACTGGCTATCCAGTGAATTTGTGGACAGGGAACTAAGCAGATTGAGAGAAGCATCTTGTTGTTCATTCAAACAAAATGGTGACAAAATTCAAACAAAATGGGATGGGGATGCTACAGCATTTGACGTCCCCTCATCTGAGGAAGACAATATAGAATCTGGGTAAGATACTCTAAAAATGTTGTCTCAAAACACATTAAATCTGTTTTACACAAGATGGAGTAATCTTAGTGGATAACAAAATGTATATGATCATTCCTGTATAATGCATTCTTACAATGCTCTGACAATCGAGTTATATTTACTAATGTAATGCAACAAAGCACAGAAATGAATGCGTCTGCTGAAAAATCGAGCTTGTTCTGACCAGTTATCAGATGCCAAAACACAGGCTTAGCTGGTCAAACTGGTAGACCACCTTTGCTGGCTGGTAAGTTATTCTCCAGTGTCCTAATTACTTGTCTAAATTGATCAATAAATCTTTAGATTAGATTTCCTAATGGCTTTACTGTTGTGCTGTGTTACTGTCTTAAGAACAACTTCTCTAAGATGTTGTGTTTGTAGAAGTATTTCAGAAACTGTTTCCTTTCTACCAGCACTTACCAGCTGGCAAAGATGGTCTACCAGCTTGACCAGCTCGGCCTGTGTTTTGGCAGCTGGTAGCTGGTCAGACGAAGCTGAATTTCCTAAAACAATCCAGAGAAATGTAGCTAGATATCAAAAGTAGCTAAACTTATGAGTCTACATAATTGTTCACAATTGAAACTACTACACAGATTTTGCTAATTTGAATTTGGGGTAGAAGAGAGGGCCTAGTAAGTGCTCTGGATATACATCATTGTGACCCTCAATTACATAAACAATTTGAAAATTACAAATTAGCTAGTGAACTAAAACCACAAAAATATAGTAGCATTAAAAATGACATTCTGTATTAAATGCAGCAATAAAATGCATCTGCTACCTTTAGCTTGTGATAGCATTTATATGCTAATTTGGCGGCTCTGTTATGCATCCTAACAAGTAAATTTCAACCATTTAGTGTGGAAGTAGTGCACATTGGATGTATACTAGATTTAGAGGGCACTATGTGTAATAATAGTGAACTGTCCAAAGAATATAATATGTCTATTGAAATTTGGAAAACACTCCAGAATAGCCGCACCCAAAATAATGCACTATGTAGTAAATAGGAAACAGCTTTTCTTAGCTAAGCTACAAGTTAGGCTACTCGACAACAAATGTAGCACCACTAAATTAGCTAGTTAGAGTACAAGCTACACGGAAAAACGTAGCTAGATCTGTGAAGCTAGTTCCACAATTGATGCTAAATGTGTATAATAATTAAAACAAGCTGCCTGACAAACAAAATGTTGGAATCAAAATATACCTTGACTGAGTTAGAAAAATGAAAGAATTTATTAATATTACTTTTCTACGACATTTCCCATCAGCCCTGAAAAGTAACCATGGTCAGTTCTGTGATTCACTACTACTTAACCAGTTTAGTTAAGCTACTGATTGAGGTTGTTATTGAAGAAACCAGCTGGTTTGACATGTGTTCATGTTGCATCAGTGTCTCTTCGATGCAGTCATGCAGAAAAGGGGATACATATCCCAATTCCTGAAAGAGAGAGATATAGAAAGAGAAAAAGAGAGAGAGAGAGAGAGAGAGAGAGAGAGAGAGAGAGAGCAAGGGATCCTAACTAATCTGCCACATAAACACCCAATGTCTTTAGGGACGAATATCAATGAGAGTCTTCAAGCCTTCCCACTACATTGCCATAGCAACTGCAGAGAGATTCGTCTGCTTCTATTGCTCTTTCTGCTGCGCCATCCACACACACACACACACACACACACACAACTACATACACATATCAATACACCATTACTGCTTATATACGACACAACACTGGGGAGGTTAGTACCTTGGCCTTTTCAACACACGTGTAATCTCTGTTTCCATCATTTCAACATCTGGAGAGAAAGAGAGAGAGAGAGAGAGAGAGAGAGAGAGAGAGGAGGGGGGAGCAAGCTGGTGCTAATTATCAGGAGTTCCTCTGGGGGATTATGAGTTTTAATAGCCCTGTTTTATGAGTTACTTTCCTGCTGGGAGACATAGGATTACAGTGTGTATGACACACACACACACACTCACACAGAACATACAAACCACAAATACAAGATCAGACTTGGATTCCCATACACAGAAGCAACAGAGAGAACCACATGGGATTTTTGGTGACGCACACCCAGACAAGTTACGCAGATACTTCAGAAAGTGGATCACTAAAGACGTAGTCATGTGCCCTTAATATGTTTTTATGTTTATGTTCTATCCCCGCTAGCTTTAGGGGATAGGGAACTCTATACACTAGCATATTGCCTATAACTACAGAAATTGTTTAGAATAGAAATGTTAGCGTATAAACAATTCACAGTATGAGAACTATCCAACCCATCTGACTGTTATTTATTTGTTTGTTTGTTTGGTATATAGCATATGCCAATGTACAATCTAACTCAATTCAACTTAAACTGTAGCATATCTTTGGAGACACAGTGGCGCAGCGGGTAGCATCTCATTACAGCTCCCTGGTTTGATCCTAAGCTCAAGTCTGTGTAGAGTTTTGCATTTTCTCTCCATGTCTGTGTGGGTTCCTCCAAGTTGTCTGGTTTCCTCCCACCTCCCAAAAGCATACATGTAGGTGGATTGGCTACTCTAAAGTACCCCTAGGTGTGAAAAAGTGTGTGAATGGTGTCGTGTAATGGACTGGTGTACCATCCAGTATTCCTGCCTTACTCCTAGTGTTCTTGGAGTAGGCTCCAGATCTGTCTATCTACCATTAAGCGCATCTTGTATTGATTTTAAATTGAAAAAAAAAACAAATGTGTGTCTGAAAGATATCATGTAGAATGAACAAAGGCATTAACTAATGTTATTGAGATTTTTTCACAACTGATATATTCAGAAAGGCTAGTTGACAATTTTTGCTACTTATGATCGTGAAGGAACACATGGGTCCCTGAAGGACTAGTGGTTAGGCCACGGCGCTCACATCGCCACCGCCTGGGTTCAATTCCCGGCCAGGGAACCGACCCCAGCCACTGGGGTTGCACAAGATTGTGCACTTCCAGTGTCGGTCCCAAGCCTGGATAATATCGGGGAGGGCTGCGTCAGGGAGGGCATCTGGTGTAAAAACTGTGCCAAATCAAATATGTGAACCAATGATCCGTTGTCGCGACCCCTAACAGGAGCAGCTGAAAGTGGATCATGATAGTGAAGGAACATCTGTGGAATCTAATATTAAATGCTTTAAATTGAATTTCAGTTTTGTTTTGTGACTGTGTTTGTTGAAAGGGGGATATATAAGTCCGAGACCACTAGAGAAAATGCTTTTCATTACAAATTATATTGACAACAGCTGTCAAAAACAGACTCAGGTAGAATCGTTGAAATAGTTTCTAATCTGAATTAGAAAAGTAGTAGAATCCTTGAAATATTTACATGAATTTCAGAGTTTCTTAGTATTTGGTACGTCCCCTTTTTGCTTTAATGTCAGTGTGCATTCGAGCTGGCAGCGACTCCACAAGTTTGTGCAGAATCCATTCTGATCCATTTTAGATCAAATCCAATGCTGTTTCATCTGAACACATGCTTCAATAGAAAAGATTAGCCATGAGGAAAATCTGACCTTTTCTACAAAGCACTTAACATGGTCAATACCACAAATTTGCTTACGTCTAAATAGAGACTTAGAAATAGTGCAGAATCTTGAATATTATATATATAAGATATTGAACACTTAATTTCTTTGTTTTAAATATTTCAAAATTCTAAAACCTTCCCAGATCTTCAGTGTGGTCTCAGACTTTTGGATCCCACTGTATATTATATACAGCATATGAATATCTGAGAGTTTTGAACTTGTGGGAACATTTGGCTTTTTGACAAAAACTGCAGCTTGTATTTAAAAAAAAAAAAGAGCCAAAAGATTTCCTTAAGGTTAGGGTTATATTTAGGTGTAAGTATAACATCAATTCGCTGTATTAATGACAATAAAAGGTCCTCACAAAGATAGTGTGTGTTTGTGTGTGTGGTGTTGCTACGATAAAGCATTAAACCCTACACACCTACCTACCTATAAGATAAAGTAAAAGACAATTTAATGCCCTCCAGCAGGTGGATTATGAAGCCAGGTCCATGAGGTGTTTCACATAAAAAACCCCTAGACTTTCCTGTTTTACAAATATTGTAGCATGTCCTAAGAGATGTGCTGCTGTGATGTCATTTCTTGACAGCTGACTTTCTAATTCTTTGTTTAGTGTACACAAAACTATCTGTCCACAGAAGCCCCACACCTCACCTTGGCAGGAGTGTATATGGGCCACATCTCTTCTATTGTCCAAGTCGGCACTCTTTAGAAAAATTTAGCCATGTAAACACAAAAACAGTCAGGTGATTCTGAAGAGGAAAAAATAAGATGTTCATGTCCATTCCAATTGAACAGCAACAAAATAGGAACTAGGAAACTCTTCTTCAGGAGATTTTTATGTTGAAAACATTCCCAAGTCCCAAGTACATTTCAGTGCTATTAATCAGGAAACATGATCGTCTGCAGCAAAAAAAAAAAAATGCTTTGTATACTGTAATCATAAAACCTGTGTACTATAATATGTATGGAATGAAACATGACAAGGTGTGCTGTTATGAAAATAATTAACAGTGGTGGTGTGACGCAGCCTGGCACAAAGTGGAGGGTGTTTCATTTCTCTTATTCCACGGTAATTTGCCAATTTTTTGCCAATTAAATTTTTTATTAATTCGAATAATTTAAAAATTATATAAATTGTAGTTTTTTTAAATGTTTAAACTGACATTTAATGTTGTTGAACATCCACAAAATAATTTAGCTCCCTTTATCACTTCACCTATAGCAGCTATAAACAGTCATTCCGTTACCAGCCTCATGTTTTTTTGTCTCTTATAGTTAATAAGACAAAAAAAAAATGCAGCTTGTCATGTTAGCAAGAAGCCAGAAATCACAAACTCCTCTGTCCTGAAGACTCTCGCATGGTGGAAAACTTACTGACTGAAACAAAGTGCTGAAAACAGAGACTCCTTCCACAACTGTTAAATAACATCTCCTTACAGAAAGCTTTACCATATCAACAATTATACATTTTTCTTTACCAATTAAAAATATGTTTTTAATCTGTGTATTATTCGGCTAAGATTATGTGGTATGTACACCATCAATGAATTATCTGCTGCTATAGAAAAGATAACACAAAAGAAAGAGCACATTAATATAAACCAATCTGTCTGAGCTGTCTGTTATAGAAAATTAATTAATATCTTCTGACCAATCAGAATTGAGAATTCAACAGCACTGTGGTATAATTTCCTTTAAACCGTTTGTGGCACTTTATCTAAAAATAGTTACACACTTATGTAAAAATTCACAATATACTATACAATGTAGCACATCATATATGCATATATAGTGCAGACTTGTATGTTGTATACAGTATACTGTATGTAAGAAACATATTGAGGAGGCAGCCTCGATAACATTTAGTATCATTAGTATACAAAATTCAGTCTTATCATCCTGCACTAATCATAAGCCAGTGAAATGATACAAAACAACTAATGTATGCTGATGTTGATTTTCCCTCAATTTAAGGTTGGTTTTTCATGTGTGTATGAGTTAGTGTGTATAAAATGTATAGGTTTCAATGAAACAGTGACCCACTGAGCCTGGCCTAGTTCTCAGAGCCTACTGTAGCCCTCAGCAACCCATCAGGCTTTTAAAGCATCAACTGAACATCCAGGCTGCAGACACACACACACACACACACACACACATTATATAAGCATTATATGCACATCTACTGATTTGTGAAAAGAGTAAAACATAAAAGCAATAACAACTGTGAACATTAAGGACTGTCCTTATTCAGTAGTTGGCATGAGCTCTACTTGCAGCTCACAGTCATTACGTAATCACCTAATCACCATTGTCTAAGCTGATTGAGATTATTTGAAGTGATTGTGACTAATCATTAGATCCCCCAATCATATATTTCCATATAAATATTTGCAGTGAGCAAACATGACTTTCAGTCTTAATTAGTTTCTTGAGATAATTGTATTGCTGCACCATCTTATCTTAATCATCATTATCAGTCATATGCTTTGATCTGTGAACTACTATAACTGTGTTTTACAAAAATTTCATTCCTTGGGCACTGCATAACATGTTGTTGGCCACATTCATAGAGAGATCAGATGTGATTCTGGGCGCACGTGTTATAACGTCCCTGTACTCTAAGCACTGACTTTTACCTGTAGTGACCTAAACTTTGGTTGAGGAGCTTTTTAAAGATGACCTAATTAGGCATTGTTGTACCTCATTATATAAAGATACACCAACGACCTTTAGCAAGACTAGCAAGTTGCACTGCCTCACTGCCCAACTGTGTTTCTACTAACAGGATTAAAAAAAATACACCAGTTTTTAAATAACCTAGTTTTTTGGAAGCCTGGAAAGTCTTTATTCCCAGTTTGTTTGAACAGAAATAATACACGTTTATTTAGGCTTCTTTGCTGTCAAAATGCATATAAATCCTCATTTTGCCTCACATGACAGCCTGTATTTCTGTTTATAAAGTTGAATACTTTGATCTATAGTGCTATACAATGTACACACCTCAGAAACAGATTTTTTGTTTTCTAGTTTAGTACTAAATATTTAGGTAATTCAAATTTGAATGTAATTTCTTTAAAGAATTATAAAGACAGCCCTACTCCCAACATACCATCAAGCTTTAGGTAAGTGGGATCAGGTGTTATATACTAATGTAACCTGAATACTCAAGATACTGAGTCAGAACAGGTCATAATAAAATTTAAACTTTGATATTTTTTCTCCTAAATCGTTTAACGATACATATACATACAAAAAAGGCTTCAGGTCATGCAAATGTAATTTCATTAGAAAAAAGATAGAATACTATAGTTGTGACACGGTGCCAATATTACTAATAGTTTAACGTCAAGAGTTTAAAGTCAACTGGTTGTTTTGGTGCAACTGCTGTGTTCTCACCTAGCGGAAAAATGGACCAGGATTCAATTCAAATGGACTAAAAGCTGCAAATGTGAAAGCATCCAACTCTACAATGATGATTCAAGCACTCTGTCATGTCATTTTCAAGGTTTGGTTGGTTCAAGGATTGGTTGGTCAGGGTTCAGATGCACCTGTGTATGGTTAAAGTATCAAAACAAACCAAGCTAAAAGACGTTTAAAGGAGTTTGGTCCGCATGATGATGTGGAAGTCACAGTACTGAACCTCTCACAGCAACTGCTGAACAAGATTCTAGTATATTGAGAGATCAACAGCCAGCGGCTGACACTGGAGCCATTCATCAGCTTGTTTTCATCCCTCCTCCTAACCAACCAAGCCCTGATCTGCAGACTGCAATTCCCAGCAGCAGACAGCGCAAAAAAAAAGCTCTTTTTCTTCTTTACACACACCCTACACATATATACACCGGTCTGGATGTGAGTCAGCTTTCAGAACCTGGACTAAAATTGTGTTGTATGAAGTGTAAAGTGGGGACACAATGTCAGAGAAACAGAGAAACCAGAAGCCCTCCATCAAGGAAATGCAGAGTGAGCTGACAAACAGAGTAATAAACGAAACACAAAAAGACTGTACCAGCACATTAAAGAGAATAATTCATGCAAGGCTCTATTCCCAGCTCAGCAGGCGTCTCAGATTGTGCATCAAAAATACAGCAGCTGTGTGAGGATTCATACTGATCCAATGATGCCTCACAGAACAAGCAAATAACACTGACGTTTATGAGGAAAGAGAGAATCTTTGAGAATAACTGATGACTCTCATAGAGGAAGAGACAAATAATAAGAAAATACTTCATCTAGAAAACAACAACTTTGGAAAAGACCTACAGTGGCAGAACTTTGATCCAATCACAAAGACAGAGCACATATACTGTACACACAGTAACTTTCCATTATGCTCCAATAAGTGACTTAACATGTGTATGCTTAGTATAAAGTGTCTT